ACTACTGTGCTGCTCATTGTTCTCCCTGCTTCATGGGAAGCTGTACCTGAGGACCTGCAGTGCAAGGATCTCCCTTCTTCTATTTCATTCATTCTGTGGATCTGTGCTTCCTACACCTCTCCTATTGCTGACTGAATATTCACCATTCACTATATTTTCATCAGATCTCCAGTGATCAGAGGGGCAACTTTAACCTCCCTGGCGGTATTCCCGAGTGTAGCTCGGGGTAGAGTTTTAGTACCAAAAGCGGTAAACCCCGAGCTACAATCGGGCTTACCATGCGGCGCTGCATAAGGAGTCCCTGCAGCACTTACCTTGTCCTTCGCTCCCACGATGTGTCCCCTGAAGCGTCCCCGGCCATCTCCTCCGGCTGATGCCGGCATCCGGCTTCTGTGTTCCGGTCCCCGTGACGTCGGGACGTACGGCGGCGGCGGGAAATTTGAAAATTTTAAAAAATGTCATTTTTTTCAAAACACATTTTTCACAGTAAAACATTGCTGTTTCAACCCATTTCACATACATATTGTCCCTAGTGCTTTGTCCTGTGCCCTGCCTACATTTTGTCTGTCTTTCTGCCTGGAAACTTAGAACAGTCCATGGCGTCCAAAAAATGTCCCTTTAGGTCAAAAGCGGTTTTAGACCGGCTAGAGAACAGCGATAGTAAATCAGAACCACTTGCAGAATTGAGTGATAATGATTCGTGGGGGAAATTCGTCATCAGACACTGAAAACGATTTTGCGACTTTGCTCAGCAATGTACGAACTTGGCGCTCTATTTCAAATTTCAGTGTTTTCGGTTTGATTATATTATTGAATTAAATGTATTATTATTATATTATTATTTTTTTTGATTATTTATTAAATTATAATTTATGATTTCGTGTTTCAAATTTTATCATACCCGGGATGTTTAATAGACTCTTGTTCGGACAGATTTCAGTGAGTTATTCCTAAAAATTACAGCCTACAATAAAAAAACTACATATTTCCATGCAAAATAATGGTACCGCTTTCAGCACCAAAAATCTGAAATAATCATACCGCCAGGGAGGTTAACATGAGGAAGCAAAACCCTGCTCTTTTTCCAATATGGCCTCCTTCATACAGAGACACAGTGCAGAACAAGGTTTGGTACTGTAGTTGGGCCTGTAAAGCACACCATGCTGCCAAAAACTTGTGGACACCTGATCATCACAGCACATCACATGTACACAGTCATGCTGGAAGAAAAAAAGCACCTTCCCCAAACTGCTGCTACAGGTGTACCCTGGCCAGCAGTCCCTTTAGGATTAGAACCACACAGCTCAGCATTTCAAGGCCAAACTGCAGCTTGCCTTCTTCCCCCAGCCTTTGATTGCCAGTAAGCCCAGCAGTGGAGAGGGAGAAGCTTGGATAGCCACATCCATGGACAGACTTAGTCCCACTTATCAAACTAAGGTGGACTAATTGGTAGCATTGAGGTCCAGAACTTGACTGCAGAGGGCTTTCTTGAAGGGGGCCTACTCACCCTTTCATTGATAATTGTTTTGGACACTTTGCAAAGATACCTTTACAATTTAAATAGCTCCACCATCGGCAGACTGTATGCTAGCTTGCCCACTGGGCAGTACTTAAGCCAGCCATACATGGGTCAAATTCCAAAAGAATTTTATTTTGAAAATCTTTTCTAAGAATATTCATTAGAATTTCACACCATTAGTGGGTCACAGAAAGGGCAACCATCGAATTTGAGTGATCGGGCATGTTAGAAATTTTTTGAAAAACAAATGCATTTCGAATCAATGATGGGGGAATCGTGCAGGAAATATAAATGATAAATAAATGAACATGAACTGTAACCTGGAAAGAAAAGAAAATTCTTGGCCACAAAAATTATTTTCTGTAGCAACATGAGGTGAAATTGAAGGCTTGGTTGGTCGAATTTCGAAATCAATGGTGGCACCATCGGATTACAAAATGCACTAAAATGTGTACAGAATGTGACCCATGTATGGCCTGCACTTGTCAGAACTGTTAGTTTGTCATTAGGCCCAAGTAGTGAGCTGCACCTGTCTTACAATACACCGGGGTGTACCAGCATATTAGGTACTGTTTAACTGGTATAGTTGCAATAATTTCTACCATTGATATGCATTACTTTCCTGTATTGGTGTGTCGTGTACTACTGGGTCCGGTTACAGGACAGGAAATCACTGAGAAGGGCAGAAAAAGAGTAGAACAACTCAACGCCGGCATTTATTGCTACACAAGGTCAGAAGAGCATATTGTCTAAAATGTGTTTGTATGCTGTATATATGCTGTAACATTACCAGTACCCTTCACTGGAAACCCCCTGGAGGGGTATCCACATACTTTTGGTTATATCTTTTTTTTTTAAAACTGTTATGCTGATTGCACCTTCTTATATACAGACAGCCACTAGAGGGAGGGCTTTTATATATATATATATATATATATATATATATATTATACAGGATTTATATAGCGCCAACAGTTTGCGCAGCGCTTTACAAAATGAAGGTAGATATTACAGTTACAATACAATTTGGTACAAGAGGAAACAGAGGGCCCAATCTATGAAAATATATATATATATATATATATATATGCTGAGCAGGCTCGGAGCTCAGGCCGGATCTGTCATTGGCACTGGGAGCCGTCAGACTGCTCAATAGCTGAGAGCAGTGAAAGCAAAGGAAAGAGTGTGTGCTGTGCTCTCTGCCTCCCCCTAGAGTGCAGTACCCGGCTCTGTGAGTGAAAAACGAAGTACTGTAACTTTTTATAGGGGGTGTGTGTGTGTGTGTGTGTGTGTGTGTGTGTGTGTGTGTTTATGTGTGTCTACCTAATTTCAGCTCACTCTGGTCACATGATCCTCTATATCAGCCAGTGGTGGTTTTCAGGGGAGAGGAGAGAGCACTTAACAGCGTGCGTGTGTGTGTGTACATGTGTCTGTGTGTATCTGTACATGTGTCTGCGTGTATGTACATGTATGTGTGTGTGTACATGTGTCTGTGTGTGTATGTACATGTATGTGTGTATGTACGTACATGTGTCTGTTTGTACATGTGTCTGTGTATGTATGTACATGTGTCTGTGTGTATGTACATGTGTCTGTGCTTGTGTTTTTCTGTGTATGTACATGTATCTGTGTGTATGCATGTCTGTACGTGCCTGTGTGTGTATACATGTGTCTGTACGTGCCTGTGTGTGTATACATATGTCTGTATGTGTGTGTGTGTGTACATTTGTCTCTGTATGTGTGTGTACATGTTTCTGTGTGTGTATGTGTGTGAATGTACATGTCTGTGTGTGTGTACAGGTGTCTCTGTTTTGTGTGTGTTTGTTGGTGGCAAGTAACTCTTAAGGCCTGGCTAGTAGTTTAGGACTTGAAATTTTAAGCCCTGATGATATATATATATATATATATATATATATAAACAGTATATATATATATATATATATATGTGTAATATATTTTTTATATATATATATATTATATATATATAAATATATATATGTTAATGACAATATGACAAGTAATCTAAAACATAAAAAAAATGTGTAAACACCACAAGAAAAAAAATATTAACTGAAAATATATGGTAGTTTTCAAACGTAGAGTGAATGTAACAATGAGATTCTTACAAATACATAATTTAAATGTCCTTTACAACGGAAACAACCGATTCCAAGACTTCTGCTGAAATTATTTTTTCACTCAACATTTTTTCACTTATTAGTCACTTATTTGTCGAACAAAAGACAATAAAGGAATCTTGACACATCACCTTCACTTCCTCTTTGTACGATGAATTCCCTGGAACTTTGTTCTCATGGAGCAGGTATCCCTGGAACAGGAAAAACAAGCCTCGTCTTTACTGCTGAAAATATTCCCCTGACTCTTCACAAAAATAAAAAAAAAAAAAAAATAAAAGATTTTTGTGCCTTGACACAAATTTGGCAGAGCCCGAAAGCAGCACAGCAGGTGAGAAAAAAAGTGTAAAAATAGATTTCCATTTCTTTCGACGAAACTGCAAGTCACAGAGCCATTAAATTTGATTAAAGCAGTGTTGCCATCATTTCCAGACATTTTACATTTTTTTACTTTTCCAAAAGATGTTAAAGAGTCACTCCAGGCACCAAGAATCATTCTGTAAATTACTTATGTAAATTGCTGCAAACATTAGGAAGTTCACTCATTTTATCTTCAAAGCTGAACTCTAGGCAGATATAAAATACACAAATGGATGCAGCACTGTATTCATCAATACATCCTTAAAATTGAACTCAACAAAAAACTTTATTTATATACTGTATATTGCTTGATAGCCACAAAAATATAAATCCAATTTGTGTATACAAAGTGCCTTTGCAAACATAGATATACCTCATAAAAGTTGTGGTGGTGTCATCACTGTGCTGTACATGGCCTGTGCAGACGGCGCAACTTTGGGACGGGCCCAGAAGCACCACCCACTACAGGCTGCCTGCAGAAAACTACGGGAAGGGCGGAAATAAGACCAGTCACTCTGCAAAGAGAAATAAGACCGGTCTTTATTACAGGAAGCTCCTACACAGAGCTCTGCACTGGAGTACTGCAGAGATCTGGAAGAAATACACAAAGTACACCAAGAGTCAAGTAAGAAATATATACTGTATGTCTCTTGTATACAGACTATATTTGCTTATACTAGAGTTCATCTATAAATATTTTTTTTTTAAACAGAAGCAGTGAGTACTCAAATATGACCTGGTATCAGCCTCTTTCAGTCCCTGTACAGCACAGCTCAGACTGGGGAGAGCGAGAAGCAGCTCAGGGATCCAATCAGTTTATGTACTGACAATGAGCATGATGGTAAGAGAAGAAAGCAGAGTGACAGAAAGGTAAGCTAATCGATTTTGTACTTCTATTTTGCTGTCAGGTTAAAGGCTGGGGAAGGGGCAAGTGAAGTAAAATTAGAATTGCAGCACAGAAAATATTAGGTCTCTTCCCTTGCTAGAAAAGGCTGTCCTATGTAGCAAGGTTGAGCAAATTTTCAGGACTGGATGGACCATCGACGGACTGACAACTCATGGGGCCCCGGGCAATAGGGGATCATGGGGCCCCTGTGTCCTTGCCCAAACTCAAAAAAGCCTATGAAAAAGGTACCAGGGGCATCTCATGGGGCCCCCTACTGACCCTGGGCCCTCGGGCAGTGCCCAAGTTTCCAAATGGTCAGTCCGCCCCTGGGATGGACAGAAGTACAAATTCCATTGGCAAGTAAAACATATTTCATCTTTGTATTTACCTGCTTGCCTTAAGATCAGCTTTATGAGAGAAATGTGCAGTCCCTATGTGCTAGTTACTTAGCTTATGGCATTTGAATGGTGGTTTAGTAAGTTTATTAAGACTACAAGTACAGTTTAAATTGCATGCTGTCAGCCAGAAATTGTCCTCTAAACTCAGATAAGTGTGATTAAAGCTGATCACAATACAGACATTTACAAAAATTAGTACAGATATGTACTGCATTTCTTTAACCACAATTAAATGTATTTTTACGTCTAAAATAGATCCCTGAATCTTTGCTGATGTCAGCCTCATGCCACCCTCTTTACACTAGCATTAAACAGGCTTCAATGGGAGGTCATATGCTGATGGGTTAAATGTCGATAGGAGAAAAGAGCAAAGTGAGCAGCATTGATCATTTTTTGTATTTTTTCTCTGTCATTGTCCAAGTCAGTAGGCTGAGGATGGACACCACAGTATTCCTTAGGGCACTAATGAAGCCAAAAACAAAAATGTAATATATTGCAGCTTAGCAATCCTTAAATGTGGTAATTGCATTTTTTTTTTAAGGCTTCACCTGGAGATCCAGCCATTAACACGCTTTCTGTTTTGAGCTTCCTGCTGTCTGGGTGGAGGAGTCACAAAGACACACCTTTGGACAGTAGCATTGGCAGTCTGGAGGTAGGGTAGTGTTAGATGGGCTAGCAGATTTATAGAGTTCGTTGGGGCCCTTTAAGAGACGTTGGTGCACTTAACAACAACTCTAGTAAACCAGCATGGTTTGCAGTATAGGTGCAGGAAAAATGCTGTAAGGGTGCGGTATAGGTGCTATACAGGTGCAGTATAGGTGCTATACAGGTGCAGTATAGGTGCGGTACAGGTGCAGTATAGGGGCAGTGAAAATGCAGTAAAAGTGCAATATACTTAAAGTGAAGTTCCAGCGCTTTTAGTGTTTATTAAAAGTCAGCAGCTACAAAAACTGTAACTGCTAACTTTTAAAAAACACACACTTACCTGTCCCGGGTCCAGCGACGTACTCACCCGCGCAGTCCCTTATCTCATTATGTTCTCCACAGCATCGTCATCTCTACTGTGGGCACCAGGCTGTGACAGCTTGTGGCTTCACAGCCCGATGCCCACTGCACATGTGCGATTCGCGCCACACCTCCTGATTGGTCCAGCAGTCTTCTGGGACCTGTGAAAGTTCACAGGAGACTGCGGGAGCAAGGAGGGGGCTGAACTTGCAGGTCACTTAGCCACACTGAGCCAGAAGTGGGAGCGGGTACCTGGCAAAACCAGGTACCCGATCCCCCCCAAAAGGTGCCAAATATGGCAGTGGAGGGGAGGAGGAGGCAAACAAGTGGAGCATCTGCTTTTGAGTGTAACTCCGCTTTAATATCATGCCTCCATTAACTCAGTCTGTCTTTGGGTTTAAAGGGATGAGGTGGCAACCCTAAGCTATAAAGATCAGAGCAAAATGAGGGACAAATGAGGAGGAAAGCGGGACAGAGGGACTTTGTTTCAAAACATGGACAGTCCCTCAATATCAGGGACAGTTGGGAGGTATGCCAGGGCAGTCTGGTAAAAGCTGTTCCACCACTCCCCTTCCACATGAATGTCCTATGGGAATTCTGCTGTAAAGGTCCGTAAGTCCCATTCCCTAAATAGCATTTCAGACTACAATTCCCATGATCCTCAGCATAGAAGTCCATAGGCTTTCCTGGCTATGGTTCTCCCTCTGCTGACTGGAGGGGATAGCGCAACATAACATTCCACATAACAGCAGAAAGAGAAAGTAGACTGATTTTAGAGGGAAATGTCTCCTTCTCCATGTTTCTGTAGCCCAGCACCTGGCTATCCAAACATAGAAATTGTTGCACTCCAGGTTCTCAGGTACAGCTTCCTCTCCAGCAAGGAGAACAGTGAGCAACAGATTAATGTGATCACCAAATCTAGTGAGACTAGCAGTCAGAGGCAGCAGTGCCTTAAAGGATCTGACTGCAGATATACAGATATGAAGTTACAGAACAGGGGTGCCTAGGTACAAACTCAAGTGGGATTCCACCACATCTTTATGTGCTGTCTGGGGTTGTCAGGGGTGCCATGTTGTGTCCGATATTTTTGCATAGTGTCATGTAATTTCATGGTGCAGGCGGGCTGGCCACAAGCACCATGGAACTGCATGACACTGATCCATGGTAGGCGACATTCAGAGCATCCCCAAAATTTAATAGGAGATGGAAATCCACCTCTGTTAGTCCTGCTCTGCTAACCACCCACTGCCATGCTGCTACATGCTGTAAAGATGTAGCATGTAAAAAAGATGGGGGAGAACTGAGGACTCTGATGTGGGAAGAGTGGGGACAGAGGACTCAGATTTGGGAAGGGTGGGGACTGATTGGGGAGGATGGTTGAGGACTCTGATGTGAAAGGGGGAGGGGAGGCTGAGGATTCTGATGCAGGATGGTTAGGACTGGGGACTTGAAAAAGGGGGTTGGGAACTGGGGCTGAGAACTCTGATGTGAAAGGAGGGAGGGGGGGAACTAAGGACTTTTGTGAAGGGGGGAGGGCATAGAACTCTGATGTTAAAGGGGAGGGATCAAAGACTCTTATGTAAAAGGAAGTGGGGGGAATTGAGGACTTTGATGTGAAAAGGGGGTGACTGAGGACTCTCGTGTAAAGGGGGGGGGAAGGAGATGTGAACTTGGTGCTGAGAACTCTAGTGAAAGGGGGGGACTGAGGACTGATATGTAAAATGAAGTGGGGGGGGGGGGATTGGGGACTCTAATGTGGGGAATGTGGGGAGGTTATGGGACTAAGGGCTCTGATGTGAAAGGGGGTAGGCTGAGACCACTTACATGAGGGGGGGAAGGAATTGAGGACTATGATAAGAAGAGAGGGAAGTGTGGGGGGAGGCTGAGGACTCTGATGTTAAAGGGGGGGCGAAAACTCTGATTTGAATTTTAGATCTGTATGCTTTGAGATTTCCCATATGTTCAAATGGTGTCATGAAAAAAGATTGACAAACACTGCCCTATAACATACCAATTCTTCACTTTTTCAGGTTCTTGTCCACTTGAAGCTAGGACACGATAACAAGCCGTGGATGTCATTGTGTTTACAAGCCCTGTACTGCCTGTGTGTGGAGCTAGCCTGGTGGATATAAAGCTTCGCTTCTGGTTATATTTTAACTTCCAGGCAGTTGTAGCAGCTGAATACCTGGCTGCAGCTCCACAACAGCCCAAGTCTTGTCAGTCTGCAGAGTTTTTTACCGAGTGCACCTGCTGCACAGATGGTGATTTTACTGGCTGCCAGTCTGGAGAAACGTAACATATGTCCTTCTGAGATTGTGCCTGAAATAACGTTATCTGCTTTCTTTATGGAGTTCAGCATTTGCAAATACGGCTTTCTATGCCGTGCTGACTTCTCGCTGACCCCTGCAGGAACCCCCTATAGCACGTGCAGGCTGCGCTGCCTCATTGTCCATAACTCGGGAACACACTGCGCGACTGCAACTGACACTGCATAAATTTGCAGGGAGCGCGGAAATAAAAAGGGTTATGCAGTCAGACATAAAAATATGACAAAAAAAGTCACTTTCATGATATACGTATGTAATTGTTATATCATTTTGCAAATAAATGTTTAAAATGTACCTTTTTATTGCATCTGCTACCTACAGCCAGCTGTAACATTCTAAAAATGTTCAAATTGTTTTCTTACAACCATGGCACCAGTATATTTTTTATACAAGATTAACCTGAATTTATATTTCCTTGTGTAGCACCCTCTAGTGTGCTACTAGAATACTGTAGTGGTGTAGGTAAAATTATTGTGTATATCTCATGGTATCTGTGTGAGTCTTTGATTGAGGTCGGGTTGTTGCAGGTCAGCTGGATGACTTAACAGGTTCTTCTCCTGACTATGGAGGACCATAGAGCCTTCCAGAAGTCGGTAAGCAGGAAGGGGTGGAGACCTAATCTGCATGTTTATGGGAGTCCAGCCAATACCAAGTTTAAAGGCCATGGTAGAGTGGTGGATTGGCCTGTAAATATGGGAGAGTCAGGCAGACAGAGTCGGATAGAAAATGGAGTGCTGAGGAGACTGTCGGTGCCTAGGAGGGGTCCCCTAGGTCTAAGGGGAGCCAGACTCCAGGCTGGGCTTGGGCTGGTTCAGGAGGATACATTCAGCAGTGTAGCGTGAATGGGATCGAGATCTGGAGCGGCAGGAGCAAAGAGGACAGATTGAGTACAGCAGCACTCTCTGGGATCTACAAGGAGAAAGACTGCTACACGTAGCAAGCTTACTAAGGATAGAGCTGGGCTCAACCATTTATCCTTGTTCCGGGAGATCTTTTGAGAAGCTAGGAGGACTGGTAGTGTTTGTAGGGAGCGCCTCTACAGGGAGAGAGAAGATATCCCTGCATGTATTTACAAGTAATAAAGTGATTTTTGAGGTTCTGCTAGTTCCTCGCCCATAAAGGGCTGTTACTACTGATCCGCAATGGCTGACAACTTTCAAGAAAAGAACAATGCAGGACCTGCCTTTGTACATAGGAAGGAAGTTTTCCCATCCCCCTTCATTGTTTCCAGCCAAATGGGCATCCCATAACCCCTGTTTCTCTATCCAAGTTGATTTCCCCTAATAAAATAACAAAACCAAGCCCACAGATTGATTACTCTCTCTTGGATGCAAGTCCATATGAGATATACCTATCGCCTGGCTATGCAGAGAGAAGCTTAGGGGTACCTACAACATAGCAGCCCTTACGAGGGTAGCGCTTCACTTGCATGTACAGTTGGTACAGTTGGCTTTTCCCAGAAGGCTGCACAAAGCTTGAGGTCAAATTTCATGCATCCCCTGCATCATCCATAGGTTTTGCTCCTTTATTCCTCTTATGTTTAGATTGTAAGCTCCACGAGCAGGGCCCTCAAATTCCTTCTGTACTGAAATGTATTGTAATTGTACTGTTTCCCTTATATTGTAAACTAT